CCCCTTTCACAAGGTGAAGTACGTTTTCCTTTTCAAAAGGAAAAGGGGCTCCCGTTCCCCCACCACGCGTAGAGAGAAACCTTTTTCCAAAGGCTTTAAATGCCGTGCTAGCTGAAGTGATGTGTCATGGGATTTTTCCAGGTTTTGTGGGTTTTTTAAAGCACGGGGTATAATGTCCTTCCTGCATACATGTCCTTGTCGGTCCTCTCCCCAAGGGGATTCTCTGAAGCTGGGGCTGAGAGAGAACCTTCTCCTCCAGGCCTTAGAGCGGAATCACTTTGCTCTGCTATTTCCAAATGAGCAGGAACAATCTGAGCAGCTGGGTCCTGGCCCGCCGACCCTTAGCGACAATGACGAGTCCTCGCTATTCTAACCAAGAGTCACTAAGGAGCAGTGACTCACCCCAAATCACAGTCACCACAAATCCCCCAACGTTAATTGTGATCTTGGTTTTCTCTGCCATTTCTTTCCTTCAGTAATTCGTTTAAAGCAAAAAACTGCTTTAAGGGATAGTTGAAGTATCCTTTATTTTTTTAAATAAGACTCTATCCTGTTCTAGAAAGGATTTAAACAAGTGTACCAAGATGCATACAATTTAGCAAAATGATGAATTAGAAGTAGTTTGGATTTAAATAATGATGTATATTTATAGTCACTGGCATGAAGAGATGTCCACTCAAGTTGAAAAACTTATGTTACAAAACAGATGTATTATGATATGATTCCATTCTGTTAAAAATACATTTGCTCTAGGACCTCCGTCTAGACAGAGCATGTACACATGGTCAAAAAGCCTGCAAAGCCAGACATCTGACTGCTGATGGAGGGTACCCCTGATATGTGGGATGACATGTAATTTTCACTTCCTTCTTCATGCCATTTTTAGTATGAACATGTAACATTTTTATAATTAGAAAAAAGCAAAGCTCTTTTCATTTTGTTAAAAAAGAAAAAAAAAGTGGTAGATGAGAAAGGGTGAAAGCAAATATGGGTAGGGCCATAAACCGAGCGGAGAATAAAGGCAATGGGGGCAGGCCCGGTGACCGCTGAGGGTGGCCGCCACACACGCAGCCCCCGGCTCCTCGGGAGCCACTGCAGAAAAGGAACCCAGTGATTTACCCAAGTCACCGTGTCCATTAGACAAAAACTACCTGACCTGCTCCAGCTCCTCCTCAGGAGCCCGTGTACATGCTGTGAACGTGCCCCTCGCTCTGTCCTAATACCCTGCAGGCCGGGAGTTTCAGGGCTGTTTGCAATAAGAATGACGGCCTTGCCCCAAAGGGAAAGCCAATCCAGACAGTGTTCATTCCCTCATATTCACTCACTTACTCAGTACGTATCTAGCGTCTCCCCCACTCCAGGGATGTGTATTTTTCCAACCCTGACAGGGGCTGTCTAAACAGTGAGGGTGACCCTAAATGTCAACAGCTCTCTGCAACTCCCTCTAGCATACCTGGCGTCTCTCCTGAGTTCCCCAAATAGGAGGGCACTGCCTCTGACACCCTGTGGATTATAACATTTTGCTGAAACCCACATAAAGCTGACACTCATATATGGGGCTTATGTTGTCTTCCAAAATATAAACCCCACAAGGGCAGGAACTCCCTACAGCTAGCAGGGCTGCTCACCCTGGGTCCCCAACAGACCCTCAGCTGCCTTACAGGTGACGAGACCAAACAGCCTCAAAAATGAAGTTTAAAAAACCTACAATAGGCCCATGAGAGGACCAGCTCCCTAAATACACCTGAGAGGCCCCTGTAGTCGATACAAACCCCAAAGAAAAGTCCATAATTTGTAGGCGCTATCTAGTTGGCTGTGGTTCAGGGAGAATGGAAAATTCAAGGAGAATGAACACCAAAAGAAAGTTAATCAGTATAGATTACAGAAGGAGGCCGTGGTGTTAGATAACCAAGATCGGGGCGCCCCTACATTGCAATAGAATCCTGGCTGAACGAAATACGTGAGTGTAAACTGAAGCCAAACAGAAGCACAGTAGACCTTGTTTGTAAATACTGACAAAACCAGCTAAAAGTCACAACAGCAGACAGGCCGGCTTTTCTGTTAGCCTTTCGCAGGCGAGTAAAAAGATAATTTACAACCCCAATGCTCCAGTGACAACCGACAGCTCAAAAATTAACCCAAGCCACAATAAAAGCTAAATGGCTTACTTTAGCACTCAAAGAAAACTGCATTTAAATGGAGTTCTTTCTCTCTTGGCCTGTGCAACCCTCAATTAGACAACCCATCTAAAAGGTAATCCAAAGGGATCACAACATCCAGGCAAGGCAGCCCACCACACTCAAGCATTCGCTCAATCAAAACATATTTACTGGGGGCCTGCTAGGTGCCGGACCCCATGCTAGGTGTTGGAGAAGCCGGGGGAAGGAGGTAAGGCCCTGTCCTTGCAGGGTGCTACTGGATAGACAGGCTGTGAATAGGTCAACGCCCAGATGGCTGTAGGTGCACCGTGGACGAGTGAGGCCCTGGCGGCGTCCTCAGAGAGGGGCAGAGGGTGCAGGGTGGAGGTGCACACATGGTGGGTGGAGGCAACGGAGGGTTACGGCGGCTTGAGACAGAGCTTGTGAGATGTTTCCAGATGAACGGGAGCAGAGGTGAAACAGGAGAGGGAGAGGGGTGTAAAACGAGGGAGGTACCACTGCGCTTTCTGCCCGGCAGCGGGCAGCCGCATGGGGCTGTTTAAATTACATGAAAGATTCAGGTCCTGGCCACATTTCATGTGCCCAGTAGCCATGTGTGGCTGGTGGCAGCTGACAGGCCCGTGCAGACGGATGTCCATCTGTGCGGGAAGTTCTCCTGGACACACGGAACTAAAGCCTATTTGGGTGCTGGTGGGGAGACCAGAGAGAGACAGAGAGACAGAGGGAGAGAGTGGGGTGGGAGGACGGAGATGCCCCCTGGCTTGGCAGGGGGTGGGCCTCTGGCAGGGCAAGAGGGGCCACTGGCTATCCCGCCAGTGGGTGGGTGGGAAGGAAGCTCCACGTGGCAGGGGGATGAGGCTTTGCCTGGTCTGTGGCTCCTGTGCGGTCAGTGCCAAGGGAGGCAGGGTGTGTGCTGGGGAGGACAGAGGTCTGGAGGGCAGGAGGAGTGAAGCCGCCACGACAGACACAGGGCCAGGGTGAGGCTGCCCATTGGCCGCCCTCTCTTGGTGCCTCCCCCACCATCTTACTCAACTCTCGGAAAGAATGACATTGGTTCTATTTTTGGTTAAAATGGCTCCCTCCATGCTCCTGTCTGGACTGCTTATCCAGCCCTTAGCTCCATCTCCATTTACAGCCACGGTTTGTACATCCACACCAATTACAGAAGCCGATATATTAGAAATGGCGGAAGTAGGCAGGAGTTCAAGTCAGCCCTTACCTACAAGAGGTGAGTAATAGACATGTACTGGGTGTGAAAATCCCATAAAGACATATTCCACGTGTCCACAGAATCCCCGAGCTACTCCACCCTGCTTCTCCACAAACAAAAATACTTGCTGACATTTTCTTTAAGCTTTTATGAGTAAACATCATTTTCATTTCCACAGAACTCTTTGATCTCAACCACAGTCAGAGTTTCAATATTTGTTTTTGATCATGCAAGTGTGTTGGGCTGGTTTTGTGCTGGCTGGGGGTGGCGGTGGGGGGGCAGAGTGAGTTAAAATCCCCAGATCCCTTTTATCTTCCATCTTGAGACCTACATTTGCCGACTCCTTTTCCACCGCTGTACATTTTTTCTAAGTATGAAATCTGAGAGCCTCAAAGATCCTACTGCACAAAGAACAGCCTTTTCATGGTGTAGCAGGAGGCCACTGGGAATGTCTCGGAAAAACTACTGCCCCGCCGGGGGGCCCTGGCGAAGTCGCCCCCAGTTCCTGTGCACGTGAGATCGGGGTCGGCACCACGCACAGCCAAGCTCCCGGCCCCCCTCTGTCCCCGCGGTCCTGCTCGGGCTGGTCTGGGGCCCTCCTACTTCTCTTCCTCGAAATTCTTGGCCTGCCTCAGGTCTCTCGAAACTTTGCAGACCCTGTGGGTGAAGTTCACTGGGCAAAATGCCTCCAGAAGCTGACCCGGAGCAGGGAAGGCGCAAGAAGGCCACTGACCTTGGGAGCTGGGTCAGGCCACCAGGACGGTCGTGCCGCCTTCCACTCACCAATCCCACACACGGAAGCAAGACCCCCAGACCCACCCAGAAGTTTCTGGGACAAGAAAGGGCCGTGTGCGGGTGCTAAGCTCAGCAGTGGGGGTCATAGAGATTCAAGAACTCTGGGCCACTCCCCGCCACCCACGGCCCCTGTGGCTGCCCCTCGATGCATGGGCGCAGTGCCCACCCTGGGGGAGCCGCCACCCGGTTCAGGCCTCAGTGAGCTCATCTGTAAGGTGGGCAGCCGGCTCCTCGCCGACGTGCGTGCCCCGGGTGAACAGACGTCAGGAGTTAATTGTTATTAGCACAGCGGCTCCTGACTCACAGCACCTGCTGCTCAGAGGGACGCCGAGGAGGGACCGGTCCTGCCTCCTAAATTACTTTATATGCTCAGAAGCATTAGTCACTTCCACAGACGATTCAACTTCTCTGGCCTCAAAGTCAAGCCTCACCGCGGCCCCCCCACACTTCCACCACCCCGGCCACCTCGGGGCGGACTCAAAGTCCGCTGTTCCTGCGCTCCGTATTATTTCCTGGCGCGTGCCCTTTCCAGGAAAACTTGCATTTCCATTTCGTCTGTACCGACCCCAGCGGCGGCGAACGGCAAACTGCTGCTCACGCGCACACCAGGCCCCGGGGTCGACCGCGCGCCAGCGAGGGGGCCGCGGGATGGCCGGGGCACCGAGGCGGCCGGGCGCCCGTCCCCGCCGGTGCCCGCGCCCGGGTCCCCGCCGGCAGGCGCGGGGGGCCGGCCGGGAGCGCGGGGCGGCGGGCGCGGGGTCGGGCTCCGCGCTCCCGGCGCCGGCTGCGCGCTCGCCCCGGGCTCCGGCCCCTGCGGGGCGCGGCGGCTCACTCACCCCATCTCCGGGCTGCGCCGGCGGCCGCGCCGACGGGGCCTCTCGCGCTCGCTCTCCGCCCGCTCGGCAGCCGCTCCCCGCGCGGCACATGCGGCGGCCCGTGCGCCCGGCTCAGCCCCGGCGCCGCTCCATCGCGCGGGGCTGTGCGGCCGCCGAGCCGCCGCCGCCGCCGCCAGGCGCGGGCGGGCGGGGCCGGGCCCGGGGGCTGGGCGGCCGCGCTCGGGAGGCGCCCGCTCCCCCGCCGGCGCTTACGTAACCGGGGCCCGGGCCGCCCCTCTCCGCGCCCCGCGCCGGCGCGCCCCCGCCCCACGCCCACCCGGGGGCTTGGCGCCCGGCCTCCGGCCCGCGTCCTAAGGCTGCGCGGCGCCCCTCTGGCAGCCCGGGGGGGACTTCGGGGGCCTCCCTTAGTTTGCAGGTGAGCCCCGGGAGGGGAAGCGACTTGCCCAAGGTCACATTCAGGTCTGAGCGCATGGCTTGGCGATCTGAGAGGGGGTCAGCCGTGCCCCGTCCGGAAGCCCACCCCCATGTAGCTGCCCTTGGCCGGCTGGGTGGCCCAGGTACCGGCCCCCGTGAAGTTCTGGGAGCCAGGTGGCAGGGGCACCCTGCACCTCAAGCAGGCGTTCTGGGCTCTTCCCTTGGTGAAGATGGCATAGGGGCTCCCAACTAGGGGTGGTCACTCTTGAGGAGGCTTAATCAAGCTTGGCTTTATCCTAGAGCAAGGGAATCGGGTGGCAAAGGGGACCTCAAGAACAGCCCCTCAATCGCATTTCCAAGGCAGGCTGTGAACTGACCTACCCTTCAGCGTCCTTGGGCCCTCCTCAGGGTCATCTGCTGAGAATGTGCTGCCTACGGGACCGGGCCCCTCGGCACCGTAAGGCAGGCATGGAGCAGGCCATCACCCCAGTCTTAGGCTTCTCTCTCCTGCGGCCATGACTTCACCTGCTAACCCCAAGGATTTGAAAAGTCTGACAGGGGCATCCACCCCCTCCCTGTGCTTCACGATGGTCAATATTTTTCTCAATTACAAATCGAATTGTGCCATGCTTCTTAAACTCCTTCAGTAGCTTCCTTCCCACTCTCCTTGGGATGAACCAAGACACCGGTCATGCTGTGAGGCCCTGCCCCATTATGCCTCCACGGGCCTCTCCCACCTTTCCCCTCTCAGTCTCCCCCTTGCCTTCTGTGCTCTGGCCAACCGTCCAGCCTCCTTCCAGGCCCAGGATCTTTGCACATGCTCTTCTCGCAGTCTGCAATGATTTTCTCCTCTCCTGTCTCTGACACCCCAATCCCCTTGCCTAGTCGGTTTCTACCCACATTTTAGATCTCAGTTAAACTGTCACTTCCCTATGGAACCTTTACCTAAGGCCTCAGACAAGACGATGAGCTCCTGTGCTTTTTCTACATTGCACCGTTTGTAATATGTATTTGTAAAACTCTTAGTTTAACACATCTCCCAGGTACATATGCAAAGTCCACGAAGCCGTATCTTTTGCGCATCATTGTATCACCAGGGCCTAGAACAGGGCCTGAAAGGCCTCCATAAATATTTGCTGGACGAGTGAATAGCGAGTAGGCCAAGCCGCAGACACACAAACTGGCCAGGCTCTGTGAGCACAAGTGTGTCTGTTTTGAGCCAGGGCCGGATAAACACTTGCTCCTGGAGGAAGCTTAGCTACCACCAGCTGAGCTCCAAAGACCAGGGCTGAGCTGGGGTGGAGGTGGAGGAAAGAGGGGGGAGGCGGTGTGTTCCTGGTGGTGGCAGAGGGGGTAGTCGTCAGAAGGGCTGTAGACGGTGGGCGTTGGTTCAGCTGGAGTAGGGGCACCCCAAGGTAGATCCAAGTGCCATGGGGCCAGGTAGTGGCCTGAAGCCTGAACGGGAGCTTCCTTTTGCTCTGCTGACCGACGGGCACACCTGCCTCACCTTGGGAAGATGCAGGGAGGCCACACAGGTGGGACTGGGGAATCACCTGGGCTGCGGCGCAGTGTGAGGGAAGGCGGGGCAGGCTGGGGCTGTGAGCCACGTGAGGGCAAACACTCCGCATTTAAGTGGTTTTCACTGGGGCCAAGGCTCTTCGGGGGGTGAGGAGGGGAAAGGGTGGGTCAGACAGGATTTGGAAAGGGTGCCCTTCCTTTCCTCCAACTTGGGGCTGCCCACTCACCCTGTGCGGAGGTGCCTCACTCTCCTTCAACCCCAACCTCAACCCCAGCCCCAGGCCCAGGGCCAGTCCCGCCAGAGCTTTCCCAGACCCCCGAGCCTGTCTGAGCTCCTGGAGTCATCCTTACCAGCGGCCTTCCACCATTCTAGAATCTTCCCTGGACAGGAGCCATTTACTCTCCTACCAGTGCCTCCCTGCTCCGCGGAAGCCAACACCACAGTCAGCTTTTTCTGTGGAAAATCTCCTGCCAGCCTGGCCTCCGCGGCCCGGTTGTCAGGGACATGATTGGCCAAGTCTCTTCTTTCAAGAGGCCTGAGGTGATTCCAACCTGGCCAGTAGTTGAGGCCAGGCCAGGGGGAGTCTTTTTAGGCCAAGAGACTTGAGAATCCTTGTAGGCTGAGCAGGAGATGCCAGTGAGGGGGGACAAGACTGCAGACGTGGGGACGGATGAAGAGGATGGGATCCGGGCTCAAGGGGAGGAAAGCTGTGGAGGGTGAGGGTCTGGTGGGGAGGGTGAGAGAGGCTGAGGGCACCCCTGCCTGGTGGGCTACTTATTTGAAAGGGAGCAAGGTCCCTTATGAACATGCATGGATGGGTGGGGGGAGCCAAATTTGAAACAACAGCCTTGGGAAAATAAAACTCATGTTTGGATAGATTCAGAGGTAGGAATGAGTGGGGCAGAGATGCCCGTGGAAGTCTGGGAGGCCAGATCTTGGCCAGCACAAGCTCAGGGACTTGGAATTCTTGCTATTCTGTGTGGACAGCAGAGGCTTCCAGAATCAGATCGGGCGTGGACGGTCAGTCTGAAACATCATGCTGGCTACCTGGGAAGGATCAGATAATCGTGATGGGCCACCAGAGAGCCATGTGGACCTGAGGAGCTAGGGGGAGGGGAGCAGCCCCCCAGCACCCTTCCTCCTTGTGGCAGCAAATTCTCTGCCATCCTGGGCGGAAAAGTGCTCTGCGTCCTCTGTGCCGAAGAGGGTGACGCTCCACACGTCTGGCTTCTCGTCTCTCAAAAGCTGGCTCCTGGAGAAACCGCTGATTCTAGGCCAGGCAGGGAAAACATAAGATGGTACTAATGCATCCTGCAGTGCCAGAAATGAGAACGGGCGGGCGCGGGGCCGAGGGACACAGGGGCCCACCGAGGCAGCTCCCCACAGCCACAGCTGGAATGGGTCCAGCCACAAAGTAAATAATATTATGTGGGATTATAAGGCGAAATATAAAGTCAATGTGCACAAGCCCATACTGAATAAACTGTTAAAGAAGTGGGGAAGAGACAAATCTCCCCCAGAGCAGAATTCCAGTATCGTGTGGACACTGCCCCCCTAGCAGGTGGGGTTTAACCCCCCGACTGCCCACCCCCTGAGAGCAGGCTGCCCCCAGTGTCTCAGTGATGCGCTTCTGAAGCATAGAGTATGGAAAGGAAGCAGTAGTGACTTTGCAGTGGAGAAACCTGGCAGCCACCACCATGGCCAAGTGGCCAGGGTTAGATAACATCCCCAGGGGTCAGCCACGCGGATATCACGTCCCCTCTGACAGGATGTGATAAGAAGTGTACTTCATCTGAGTGATATTTTTTCCCTAAACCCATAACCCAAGTCTAACCATGAGAAACACACCACACAAATCCACACCAAGGAACATTCTACAAAATACCTGGCCAGTACTTCCCACACTGCTAAGGTCCTGAAGCAAGGAGACTGAGAAACTGTCACAGACCAGAGGGCGCGATTATTAAGTGCATCTGGGGCCCTGGAGTAGATCCTGGAAGAGAAAGAAGAAAAACTGGTGAAATCCAGCAAAGTCTGGAGTTTAGTTCAGAGTAAGGTATCAGTGTGGGTTCCTCACTTAGCAGTTTCCTGGTGATGAGAGCTGTTAACAGTGGAGGAAACCAGGTGAGGGATCTATTGTATTCGCAACTTTTCTGTAAATCTAAAACTGGTCCAAAACTAAAAGTGTATTAAACAAAGCAGCCCTGGGAGTCTCCTGCACAGCAGGCCCTCCAAGTGGACTGGTCACTGGCCCTGTCAGGAGGGTGAGCCTGTGGGAGGCGGGACGAGGGACGTGTTGGGGAACACCTGGAGCTTGAAACTGTCTGCTCCTGGAAGCAAGCCCCTGAAATCCATACCTGTCAGCTTTTTAAACTGCCACTCATGGTGAGAAATGTATCTTACACTGTAACCCAGCACCTACCTCACTTCATCTGTAGTTATAGCTGTATAAAATGGAAGCAGAAGTTAAAAATATAAGTGGGAGTTTTTTACAAAACAATTCTTATCCTCTCACCTGCAAAGCGTTCAGACATTTTCCCTTTTGTTCTATTTTTAAAAGCAGTGCTGTTCACAGCCCACTGCATTGATTTCAAAACTTGCAATCCATATACTTTTCCTTTCAACAGCAAAATCAGGCTCACCATGTGTACATATGGTGCTATTGTGAATGTGCTCAAATTTCTAGTATTGCTGATCCAGGGACTGTGAACGTTTTTTTCTTTAACCATAAGAAGCCAGTTCTCTCATGTGCATATGAAAACTTATGAAACAAATGTTGCCTTAAAGCCATTAATTAAAGGGATAGCTATCAGTTACTGGACATCCATGGACCTACTGGATTATATTTGTGAAGACTATATGGTAACAGGGGAAAATATTTCTTCTTTCAGCAAATAGTGGCCACCTGCTACGTATCTGGTCCGTGCTGGACATTAGAAAGTACTCAGCAAAAGAGACACAGTCCTCCCGCCACGGAACTATAAGATGGGGTAAGAAGTGTTAAATAAGCACACAGACAAGTAAACTGTGGTCTGCGTGAGTGAACGCGTCCTAGTTTAGGTTGCAAGCGTGGTCAGGAACGGCCTGTTTGAGGAAGCATTTAAGAAGAGGCCCAAGGCATCTTACTACACTGATGGACAGTGATGGCAATGGGGCATGGGGAGGGGGACTTGATAATGGGGGTGAATGTAGTGA